AACGATCACTTGAAATCCGAAAAATAGCTCTCCCTCCAAATCATCCCTCCTTGGCTGATTCCTACAACAACATCGGTTGTGTGTATAATAACATGGGCAAGAACTCGAAAGCACTTTCATCGTACGAACGATCACTTGAAATCCGAAAAATTGCTCTCCCTCCAAATCATCCCGACTTGGCTGATTCCTACAACAACATCGGTGTGATGTATGGTAACATGGGCGAGCATTCGAAAGCACTTTCATCGCACGAGCGATCACTTGAAATAAAAAAAATAGCTCTCCCTCCGAATCATCCCGGCTTGGCTACTTCCTACGAAGGCATCGGTTGGGCGTATATTAACATGCGCGAGTACTCGAAAGCACTTGCATGTTATGAAAAAGTACTTGGAATGTACCAAACATCGCTTCCTCCTGGACATCCTGATATGGTACGAACACAAAATAACATTGCACTTCTGAAAAAGAAACTGTAATTTTTTTTCTTTTAAAAAGAGAAAATAAATTGGCTATTCATGAACATAAGGCTCAACGAAGCGCACCAGCTGCAAAAATTTCACGCACGCACGACCAGGGATACCCTCCGTATTCTGTTGGGTTGTACAGTGGACAAAGTTGGCAATGATAAGCCAAACATACATTTATGTATGTATGACTAGTACATCCATGATCATCATCTTCGGAAAGACGATGATCAGATGAACGCTTCTAGTCACCCATACATAGATGTATGTTATGAAGGCCTACCATGTGCACGCCTGTACAGATTACCAACAGAACGTCGGATATCCCTGGGAAGGTTCATTTTGTTTTAGAGCCACCCTCAAAAGCTCCGTTTGTTTTAAATTTTTGTTCTTCTGTTACAAAGAACGAGAAGAAGCAGAAGCGGAAAGAAGAAAAGGTAAAAAAGATAGACAGACGCGAAAAAAGACGACGTCGACATTTACGAAGTGATAATAATACGCAGTGCATGATAACAACAACCGGTTTGTGTCGATATGAAAAAAAATCGACCGCACAACATCTTTGTCGTCCTTAAACATTTCGTGTTCAATCCATTTCGAATGTGTAAGAACAATTTGAATGTCGTGGGCTCGATATTCAAGCAAACGAATGACGATCGAACAAAACAGAAGAAAGAAAAAAAAAGAGAACATTTCAATTTAAGAATGAACATGCGCATCATTCCTTTTTTTTTGTTTATATATGGTGAATTTTATTGAAAATTTTCAATTATTAATCATTAAATCTTTAAAACAAATATCTTCATTTAAAGAACCATCTAAAATAAAAAAAAAA